AAAAGGTGTTTAAAAAGAAATCCAAGTACGCAGGTCAGGATAGATGTTAAACATGAACTTCAAATTTGGTTCTTGAGCTTCCTGACCGTCAAATCAAAAAGGGCAAAACTTTCACTATCAGAAAGTGGTTTCCAAAAGTTTTTTAGAATCACATTCTAAAGTATCTTACATGGGACTTTATATAACGGGTATTCTATGACATGAAGAACAACGTCCCTGACAATATCGCTGAACAAATATGGTTAAAATGTTTTATATGGTTACTCTGAGTAGCTTGTTTAGGTGAAGGTATCAAATTAAAATTGTACCCACTGAAAGTGATATTGCTAAGGGGTGCTTTTGCAATACACATTTTTATATTGAAAGATTCTTAGACATGGATTAGTTTTCCCAATTGGGAGAGCAATTCTTATTTAATGGCTAGGAAACTCCAGTACAGACATCAAAAGTACATTAACATGGTTAATACAATTTCATCATTTAGGGGCAGTCCTAAAATTTGAACCTCCAGATTTAGCAGGGAAGTTTAGTGTCTCACAACTTCAACAGCACTGACTGTAACCCAAGGCTTCATAAGGATTTACTAGAAATTCTACCCTTCCCAAATGATGCCCTCTACTACAGAGAATTAGTTTGCATGTTCATGTATAGCACATTTTGAAGATAAAGAACTGTAAACAGTTTCAGTGTTAAAAAAACAGAAATACCTAATTTTCAGCATTTTGTGAAAAAATTCTATAAATTACCCAAAGCAGCAATATGTAACCAAACACACTGAATGTTTCTAAATGTGTGCAAGAAGCCATGGGCAGCAAGGAATAATCAACGAGATGTATGTAGCTGCTGTTCAATCGAAGTATTTCTCCTGCAATCTGCTTTGGGAATAATGAAGGTGGAAAATATCTAGAGACAGCATCTAGTCTGCATATACACTTTTACCCTATTTTCAAAGATCTCTATATAGATATCTACTCCAGTTTGTTCTTATCGTAAATCTTAGCACCAACAGTTTCTGTACCTTGTTACATACTTGGTAATTATTAAGCAACTAGTGTTCTTTCATTAACAAGATAATCACAATTACCCTACCTTTCTCCAAACACCTTACCTAATCATCTTTAGACCTCTTACTGGGGCATCCATTATTACCCTGAAAACATACTACAACTGTTTGGTACTTTATTTATTTATTTTTATTTTTAATTATTATTTTTATTTATTTATTTATTTGAGAGAGAGAGAATGAGAGACAAGAGAGCATGAGAGGGAGGAGAGTCAGAGGGAGGAGCAGACTCTCTGCTGAGCAGGGAGCCCAATGCGGGACTCGATGCCAGGACTCCAGGATCATGACCTGAGCAGAAGGCGGTCACTTAACCAACTGAGCCACCCAGGCGCCCCTGTTTGGTTCTTTAATACAAACCACAACTTCCCAGGATTTAGGTTATTTCATGATTTGTTCAAATACAAATTAAAATAAAACTAACAGTTTTATTTATAAGGAGTGATGCTATATCTTGGAATCAATTATTCAAAACAATATTCTTAGGTACTGAGATAATTGATCACATACAGTTTACCTTCTAGCAGGAAAAAGAGACAACAAACTGGTAAGTTTGTTGTCAGATTGGAGTGCTATGAAAAAAAAATTTAAGTGATAAGGGGCAGAGAGGGTTTTTGTGAGGAGGTAGCATCTGCCCTGCAAAGATGAGAATAATGTTCCAAGCAATTTTTGGCTGAAGTAGGTTTAACTAGTTATTCTGCTATATATGCATTCATTCTGAATTGTATAACCTTGCACTGCTCCCTCCTGAATGTTCTTGTTCTTAATTTGAAGACTAATTCTATCTTTTAAAAGCTTTTTATTACCTCCTTAATTGGTGTATGCCATACGTTTAAGAAGCATGCCTTCTAATTTAAACAAGTATTTTATAATATTAGTTCATTCTTTTAGTATATGTTTCTTCCAAATTACCTTTAACAATGTGTGAAAAATAACAATATTTGAAAAAAATTCTTTGTGTTACTGGATAGGTCTACATGAATATTCTAAAAAACAGTAATTTTGTGATTCTTTCAAAGTCGAACAGGCTGAAAGCAAACTGGCAGAGTAGGACCCATTTAGAAGATGAGGCTGATGGGAGGATGGAAGACACAGTAAATTAATGATGGCTTGGTCTAATAGTAGTGAAAGCCCAACAGAGAAGTTAGTTGACAGAGATCACATATGTGAGATGAAGAGGCAAATCAACTGGCAAAGCTGGAGAGAACCTTTTGCACCATACTAGCTCTTTGAGACATGCTGCCACCACCTGGGCAATAAGAAATTCTAAAGTATGGAAAAATTTTGGTTGTGATAATCAGTTAATTAACAATTACAAAATCAAAAAATATACTTTTATTTTATGAAATCAGCTTTTGATGTCTTTAGATATTAAGGAAGAGCAGGGATTTTGACAAGGTGTGTTTAGAATCCTGCTCTACTTTTCAAGACTCTGATTCCTTATCTGTAAAATGGGTATAAGAGCATTATCATTTGGGGTTGTTTAGTCTCAGGATTAGTAATAATAGATCTGAAGCATCCAGCCCAGTACCTGGTACATAGTAAGTACTCAATAAATAGCTTTTAAGAAATTATTATTCTTCAGTATGATCTTGCAAATACTGCTAAGGCCTGATTATTACTTTTTAAATCAATAATTGTGCCCTTTAAGAAATGTATTTTCAGGGCATCTGGGTGGCTCAGTCAGTTAACTGTCTGATTTCAGCTCAGGTTGTGATCCTGGGGTCCTGGGGTAGAGTCCCATGTCTGGCTCTTTGCTCAGCGGGGAGGATGCTTATCCCTCTCCCCGACTCACGTGTGTGTGTGTGTGTGTGTGTGTGTATGCACGTGCACGATCTCTCTCTCACATAAATAAAATCTTAAAAAGAGAAATGTATTTTCATTATGTTTCAATGAAAGGAAAAAACTAACAAAATTTAGGGAAGAAACCAATTTCATCAAATTAAGTCAAATATGTGGCAGGTAGGAAAATTCTCAAGATCTTTAGTCAAGTCTAGGTTTTTATAATAGAATCTTATTCAGGTTTTACTCATTCATGATGTTTTTTTTTCATTCACAATTTTGACATGAGTCAAGGGGAAATGCAACTTTGTACTATCAAGAGAAAAAGACTTTAAACAAACAACAGAGTAGGACTTCTTAAGAGAAAAAAAGTTTAAGTTTTATAATGTTTTTTTCAAGATAACTAGTGTGAATAGGACGGGAAGTGTGATACACTACACAGGAATTACGCAAAGACAAACACTCCTTAATAGTGTAATGCTTTGTTAATTCGGTTAAAGTTACATGAGTAAGATTTCTTAAAAATAAATATAAGCAGAGCTTATTTCCTTGTTATTCTAAGTTGGCAATTCTTAAAGACATTTGTGAAAGAACAAAAATCCAATTAAGGATCTTCTCAAATAAAGGATAAGACCTTAAGAAAATTGGCTATGTTTCCACTAAATTCCTTGTTCTGCTGCCACTTATGAAGCCTAAGTTAGAAAAATGGCCAAGCCCAGTCCAACTGACATAATTTTAAAGTTGAAAGAACACCGGAGATGACCTAGTGTATGTTCCACATAAAGAGGAGGAAACAGGCTCAGAGTGACTTACAGTGTATACAGATCAGCAGAGACAAGGCCTGTGAAACTCAACTCACAAGCTAAGACTCCTCGCTACAGAAAATAGTGCATAGTACTTGAACCAATCTTGACACCATCTTTCATGAAGGCAATGCAGGCTGCATTAAGGGGCTCAGCTGTGGCAACCCCTATGCTATTCCTTGGGCTCGCATCCTGTCCTGGAACTGAAAATTAGGTCAGTAGTATTAGGCTGTGAAGGCAGGGTCTAGACGACAGCCAAAGAGCTACAGATGCTTCTGTCTTATGCACCTTTTCTTGCAGCCCAAGACTCCAATGCATTTAACTAGAGAAGCAGCAGAGCAAACTACTGGGAAGGCAGTAACTGGGTATACTGTGTACCCAAGATTCAAACAAAATACACACACCTTGGCCTCTGGAGTGAAGGATGTTAAAATACATTCTGACCCCCTCCTGGAATTAATATTTGAACAAGTTTTTAGAGATCACAGTTACCTCTAGCAAGTAAAGCTTTCCGTACACACAATCCAGTGACTGAGCCTACTTTTTCTGGCTACTACAGGTACAGGCTAGGTCCAAGCAGCAAAAGCTTTGAAACCATCATCCAAGTTTTCAAACAAGAATGAGTAAGAAAACAACTGCTGCTAATACAACATACAAACATTAACATATGCCCAACGAACAGTATTGTAGATCACTAGATTATCTGCCAAAAGCCTGTTCCCTGGTAAATAATAGTTACTGCTGTTATAGCTAAACTAGTTACGCATGTCACAGCTTGCTCCTCAAAGAGAACATTCTATAGTCTCTCAAGAATAAAAACCTGCTTTATTTGACACACAAAAGTGAAGAGGTCTTGCAACATTCGCAGTGGTAGTCAAACAGAGCAGTTCAGCGCAAGCAATCACAAAATTTGGTCACCAACCAAACCAGAGTTAATCTCTCAGTTCCTGTAGATTAGAAGACAATATTAAACTCACTCTTTCTGCTTGTTGACTTTTGCATCCCTTTATTTGTGGACTGAAAGAACAAGTTATCTCTGTGGGAACTCTATGCCCAGTTTATTTACCAAGTTTACTTTGGGCAAGTATGGTTCATTTTGTGTGGGGATGTGTGTGAAACGAGTTAGGTTCTCAAACTAAAAACAAACAACAAAAATCCCCTCTTCACACAGCATGGTTGCATTTTCCCTTAATAATAAGGTTCAGTGGATCTACCATGGTCCATTTGCTTCACTGTCTCCAGTACGTGAGGCTTTAACTATTGTCCAACCAGAAGATGAGAGGGGCAAGGGGTGGAGTGGAAACCGGGAGAAGGAACTCTCCAGAATCCCTCAACAGTCGCTGGGTGACCCTCACCTTGACTTCGGGCGGTTTGTGGAGACCAACTCCTTTCTTGCCGCCGCTCTTTAGTCTGTTTCCAGGGGCTACATACATCACCCATCGGGGCCCTCCATCAACGGTCTGGCTCCAGCAGGGCAGGGGGGCTGTCTCCTGGCTTACATCGGGGGCAAAGGCAGAGGGCCCACAGGGTTCCGGACCGGCTCCCGGAGACCTGAGTCCACCCGCGTCTCCACGCTGGCCCCTTCGTCCCGGCAGGAGACCGCCGGTCTCGGGCTCCTAGCCAGAGGCCAGCCGGGGCGCCGCCGCACACCGGCGCGGCCTCACCTGCGGCTCCCCGGGAAGCCGGGCGCCGCCCTCCCCCGCACCCCCCGCCCCCGCCAGTCCTCGAAGTCGAGATTCCGGGACCCACACAGCAATGGCGCAGCCGGAAACTGGCCCCTCGACTTCCTCAGGCCCACTCCGGGCTGGGGCCGGCCTGTGGGCGGGACGGGAAAGCCGCGGCTTCCGCCTTCCTGCTTCCGGCCTGGAGGTGAGTTTGGGAGTAGGGGTCTGAGCCCAAGGTCCCGGCCGTGATGTAGAGTGGGCTGGTGGCGGTCCCTGGGGTGGGTTTGCCCGCGTGCCCAGAGGAGGCGGCCACGTCGCCGGGCGGACCGAGCTGTGGCGGGATCAGGCCTGGATTCCCGGGAACCGCCCGCCGAGGCCGAGGGGCGCCTGAACGTGGCCCCCTGGGGTGGGCGGCCAGATGGGATAGGAAAGCAGGAATGAGCAAGGGCGAAAACAGGGATGGACGGGACGTGCTGATGGCGGTGAAGTACCATCCGCTGCAGCTTCAGGAGCCGCGCAGGTCTGGTTTGGAGATCAAGCCCGGTCGACCCATTACGGAAAGAGGAAGGGTAATACGGATTCCTCCCAAGTGTGGAGACACGTGCCCTTTGGGTCCGAAATTGAAGTGCACGGGAGCTGTGTGGCCTGTGGACGATAACTTTTTTGCGTTAATGACTAAAACAGCCACAAACCGGGTCCTTCACTTCCGCGTTACTCTTTTTTGCAAAGTTTTTTCCGCTTATTACTGAATTTTGCCTTAGTTAATTCATTACCGTGCTAGAGAAGCTGAAGGGACAGATGGGATCTCTGTGTGGTCCTAAGAATTCAAGGGCAGGGGGCGGAGGTTAGACTACCTAACAATATACTACTAGAGGCGCTTTAACTAATGTTTTCTGTTGAAAATATGAAGAGGCCGGTGGAAGGATATTAAAGCCAGTGGTAGTTTCCTTGAAGTGATGGGATTGTGAGTGATTTATATTTTGTCTTGGTTTTCTGTAAAGAACACGAATTGTATAATAGGGAGACCAAAAAACCTTTAAAGAATAAAGTGAGATGTTTGATTTTGTAATTATATACCTAACCCTATAAATTAATGACATTTTTAGCATTAAAAGCTCAAAACCTAGGAATGGATGTGCTGTAACTTATCAGTGAACTAATGTGTCTTTTTATATATACGTGAGCTTCATAATTTTATTTTGGAAGTAATTTAGTAAAATACTTGTAATTACTCCAGTAGGATTTTCTTAGCATTTGCAATTGTAGTTAATGATTTCTTTCTTCAAATTAGGAAGATATAGATATTAAATGTCTATAATATGCCAGGCAATTTTACAGATTGCATATATACGATTTCAAAATAGTCCATTTGAAAGTGTCTTAAAGTTATCCTGAATGACTTAAACTTTTTTTCTTTTATCTGTTCTTTTCAACCCACCCAGTATATAAAATTTAAATCTTCTCTCACAAGTGTATGGTAGAGCTAAAGAAGACAAACAAGCAAGGGTCATCTGAAATTGTAATTGGCTCACTAATAATCCCAGGACTAAGTTGGAAAGAAGTACTCAAGCATAAGGTAGATGACTTTTTAAATTCCAGCTGAAATTGTGGATGTATGTACACCCATTCCTACCCAAGTATTCTTAATTTTCACCTTTGAATAGAGGTTGACACACACTGAAAGGTTGAAAAGCCTCTGGGCAAAATAGAAAATGTGACTCAGATCCACACCATTCTTATTTACCAGATCGCCCTCCCATACCAACTCAAAGTGGAACAAAATGCATGGCACCTGTTATGGGTAATTTTCTCATTTATTAAATTATGTCCTCAAGTAGGAGTCTTCAGAGCTGAAAGAGGGCATAAAATAGCATGTCACTTTTTTGCATATATCTCTGCATATGAATTTGGATATTTTCATGCTTCCCATACTCTCTCCTTTTCATTCCTGGAAACAGCCCTCCATTACCTTCCTTTCTCCAAGCATTTCATGTACTCTGTGGCTTGTCCTTTTCAAACACCAAATTTGATGAATCGTACTTTTGTTAATTGTACTTAATTCTAAGGATGTGTCAAAAAATTACAGGATTCCTCTGTTTCCTGGAAAGAGTGCTTTAGACTCAAGATTTTTATAAAAATGTCTGCTGCTAAGTAAGATTTGTCTTGATTACGAAGAATGCATAGTCCCTATGACAGATTCCACATGGTTTTTAATCTTCTATACCTTTACATCTTTTAAGTGTTACCTAGTTGAATTATTTCTTCTTAACTGGGGATAGCAGTCTGTTCTAAAATAGTACTAATTGATGCTTTTTAAAAATTAACTCATAACAGAATTCTGAGTTAACTGATTGTATGCTTTTTAAAAAAATTTGATTAACCACATAGTCTTTTGTTGCCCCTTTCTTCTCTTTTCCAAAGACGACTACAAAGATGTTTGATATAAAGGCTTGGGCTGAGTATGTTGTGGAATGGGCTGCAACGGACCCATATGGTTTCCTTACAACAGTTATCCTGGCCCTTACTCCATTGTTTCTAGCAAGTGCAGTACTGTCCTGGAAATTGGCCAAGATGATTGAGGCCAGGGAAAAGGAGCAAAAGAAGAAACAAAAACGTCAAGAAAATATTGCAAAAGCTAAACGACTAAAAAAGGATTGAAGGAATGAATGAACAGGCTATATAACTGGAGGAACATCATTTGGAAAATTATTCAGTGTTGAAAGGACCCACTAAGGTTTCTTTTCTGGTTTTTATGTCAGTAATTTGTTGTAAACAAAGTCGGAGCACCTGTAAGAATCATGTTAGTTGTGACCTCTACTGCAGCAACTTTTAGGTTTTGATGTAGAAGTCTATTGACAGTTAACTGTAAATTGGCTTTTTATTATGCTATAAATTCTTTATAATTGACTTAGTCATTTGCCATTTTGCAGATTGTGTTCTGAAATGAAAACATCCTGTGGAGAAAAATGACTGTCCATTATGAACTCTATTATTCAAATAATGGCTTAGAATGGGGTCCTGTTCTAGACAAAGGGAATTGAGAATGTAAAAATCATGAGAATGTAAAAATCAAAACTGTCCAATGGTGAAAAGTGTGCTTTGGCTTAAAGAGGCATATAGTATATTATTTACATCTTCTATCATTATTGCTTATTTCTTGGAATAGAATCATTTCTGGCTTTCTCAAAGCCACATATTAACCAATGACTGCGTTCTGCATTTTTCTCATTTTAGTCTTTGAGATAATTATCAGACATTCTATATTTTTTACAATCTCATTTTATAAAGAATTCTCTTACTGGCTATGTAGAATACCACCTACCAGATAGAACAGTTTTTGTACTTATGAACCTGCCATTTTCTTAGAGATGTCTTGAGTAGAGTAACACTATGATTTAAAGCTTGCAGTAAAAATGCCAAACCTTGTGGTACCTTGGAACCAGTTTATTCTTTATTGTGCTATGTTGAAATGTAAAGTAGTTAAAATGTCTTATCACATAATTTGCTCATTACATAGATGCCACTTTTGTGTTTTTATTCATTTCTTCATTTTATCTAGTAGTGATGTTCTATACTTTCTGATCAAACAGGTTCATGGTGAAAATTAAAATTTCAGACTTCTCTTAAGGAATTCTTAAAAAGTAATAGTTAAGTACTATTTCATAAGTGGTAAAGGTTTAACATTTGGAAAAATTTTGTTCATCATACTAGTAATTGGGTGAAAAAGAAATTATGTCAAAATAAGAATGTGTTAAAATTAGAAATAAAGAGCTAAAGGATATTTCCTTCAGCTAAGTAGTATAACTGGAATTTTTTTACTGTTAAACATGGCTTTTATAAATGCATAGTCTAGTAATTTTATTCACTGTCAGTACATAATAGCTTATTAATGTTTTCCTCACCTCTGATAATGAATTTTAAATTACAAAAAATTGTCCACCAGCTTTAATTTAAAAATGAAACTAGATATTGAAATAAATTTGATACATTTTTATAAAGAGGTCCTGGGTTTTTTTTTTTTTTTAAAGGGGGGTTAATAATAAGGTAATTAAAGTTAGATGTGTTATAGAAGTTAGACTTTTAAGAGGGTTTTGAGTTTCATTTCTAGCTAAAAGCCTACTTAGAAAAGTTAAGGGCAATGTTTCTCAACTATGAAAACATAAGGACTGCTGAGAATGCTTATGGATTGGTCTAAACACTAGTACTTTCACTTTAGGTTGTCAGTTTCTACTTGGTGCCAGTGGAATGAACATATTGCAACTCCAGGCACTAAGATAATTCAGTGTTCTGTTCCGTTACTTAAGCGAGCTAGGATATCTAGTGATCTTTTTATTGTCACTGAACTTTTTAATAGTTGAAATTATCATTGGAATTAAAACTTAAAAATATGCTTCTATAGATCTACTGGCCCTCCTGGGCCCGCAGAGCACAGTTTTAAGAAAAATGAGGTTAAGATATATCTAAAAATCTGTATCTATATCTAAATTCCAGTTAGTTAACTAAGATATATCTAAGATATATCTAAAATGTGTTTGGGTTTCTATAGTCAAGCTGTTCGTGAAAGGTATTTATATACATAAATCTTGTTTATGGCCACATGTTAGAGTCAAATATTGAAGCAAAAGGTATATTCACCATAATTCTCAGTTATCTACTAAAAGCTGTGTTTTCATTGGTTCTCTTGTTACAATTTAAAGATAGTTATTTAACTGAAATCTGTTTTTCTATCATTTCTTTTAAAGTCTAACACATGCCAGTTTTGTATTTGACATATGCCATTTGTTGTTCCTTCAGCTTTAGCTTTTTCCAACATTTATGAAGCCTTTTTATATATGCGAGATCAATAGGTTTTATAATATGTATGTCTGTGTACTTATGTGTATGTGGGGGGTTAATGGGGGGATGTAAAATAGAGAGTATTGTGAGAGTTGGGATTCTTCAGAAAAATCAATCTTTTCTCACTGCAACAAATAGTACTATTGATGAAAGAATCTCATTTACTATTAGCTATAATACTTTTAAAAATTGCCCTTTATGTTGTTTCTGAAGTTTTGAGAACTAATATAATCAGTTACCTTTTTATGGCTGGTTTTGGAAAAAACAGGCTAAAACATGTTTTACCCAAAAAGAAAAAAAAAAGTTTGTGTGTCAGAATGTGATCCATACTATCCACGTGATAAACTTCAGCGTGGTATTACTGTATGAGATATACTTTTTAGTATAGCATTTTTTACTTTTATTTCTTGAAATTATAGTAAGCAAAGTAAGCTTACCATGCTGTGAGCTGGAAAACCAATGTTGAGATAAATTAAAATTAGCAGGTCCTGACCCATTCCTTCTCTCCTTGTACATAACATAAAGGGGCAAGGGGCACTTACACCTCATCTGGTATTATGTGAGAGGAAGTCTGATTCCTATTCATGATTGTTTTTATGTTTGCAATTGGTTATAGCATCACTCTGATTTACTTCGTATTTGGAATATATACATGTATATATACATGTAACCTCTGGCAACCCTCAAACATATTAAAACAGATTCCATGTTCAAATACCACAAGTTTGGAAAATATAAAATAGAACTTAGGATTTATTCCTAAGAGATTTCTTGAAGTCTTTTAACGTAATTTGACTATCATAGACTCTCCTCACTTCTGTTTTTTTCCCCACACAAACACAGTTTGAGAAAGCCTGTTCTATATAAATTCAGATTACATTTTATTTTTTTGTGTTTTATTTTTTGTTTGGTGAGATCAGGTTACATTTTAAATAGTAAAGTTAAAGATGGTATTAAAAAGATAACATTAAAAAATATAATGGTTTTGGTTCAAGGCTGATTAAATTAAGAAATGAAATAAGTGACAGCCAGAAATCAGTTCGTAAAAGTAGAAATGGAAAAGAGTAACATAATAATGGGAAAATTTTTTTCCTCCATTTTTGTTGATTTTCAACTTCACATATCCAAGCCATAGCTAATAGGCTAGATTTGTATGATTAAACCCATCAGCCAACAAATTATCTGTACTTCAGCAGTCAGAAATCTGCTACGTGCACATAGAGCACAGGCATGGGAAATCAAGAACAATTTACCTCTGAGAAAGTACGTAAGGTATATACAACACTTTCATTACTTTGAAATGAACATTTTTGCTTTTGGAATTAAAAAAATTTTGCATAGGTCTTAAGTCTTGAAGAAATAAAGATATTTTCACTTATTTTAAGACATTTTCATTAAAAAAAACTTGTAAATGTCCAAAATATAATTATTTAAAATATGACATATGGTGGACAAACTAATACTTTATTTAATGCTTTAATTGTACTTTGCATGTGTCTGGCATAAAAGCCAAATATAAAAAAGTTTGCTTAGAAAGGTAATTTGAATTAGGCCAAAGTTATAGTTCAATTTTTAGGTAGGACATTTAACTCTGTTTTGATACCATCTAACAGCGCCACTAAAAAATGTTAGTCTTGAGAAAAGGAGTGCGGGTGGATTACTATAAATGTCATTTCCACTTCTTGAAATCACTGTAATACTGCATGCTCTAGGGGTATCTGGTTGGTTCAGTCAATAGAGTGTGCGACTCTTGATATTGGGGTTGTAAGTTTGAGCCCCACATTGGATGTAGAGATTATTTAAAAATAAAATCTTTTTAAAAAAAGTGCGTGTTCTACTAATAATGGTGGGCCAGTATCATGATCTCACTTCAGGTATTTTTCCACAAGGACTTTTGGTTAAGATTTTCTTTTGCTGCTTCTGTAAAACAGGTATTTTAATTTAATTTATTTTACTTTATTTTTTATGCCTCATAAAAAATACCTAGTATTTTTTATCTTTAGGTTACTTAGTATTTATTATCTACTTAGTATTTATTATCTTTAGGTCTTTATTGAAATTCCAGTTAGTTAACATACGATGTAACATTAGTTTCAGGTGTACCCTTTAGTGATTTAACACTTCCATACATCACCCAGTGCTCATCACAAGTGCCCTACTTAATCCCCATCACCTATTTCACCCATCCTCCCACCCTCTAGTAACCCTCAGTTTGTTCTTTATAGTTAATAAAACAATGATTTTAAAATGAAAACAAAAATTAAAGTAAATTCTGTCATACATTAAGATATTTACAGACTGTAGGCAAACATTTATAAAAAGATACGTATAGAATACATTTATTTATTTACTTAAAGATTTTATTTATTTATTTGACAGAGACACAGCGAGAGAGGGAACACAAGCAGCGAGAGTGGGAGAGGGAGAAGCAGGCTTCCCCTGGAGCAAGGAGCCCGATGTGGGACTCAATCCCAGGACTCTGGGATCATGACCTGAGCCGAAGGCAGACGCTTAATAACTGAGCCACCCAGGTGCCCTATAGAATAGGTATTTGGCAGTAGAAATATTCTAGCATGTTAGAACATTTGCAACATTTCTTATAACCCAGGACTCAAGAACATCTTAATTTACAGTCATTTGTACCTCTATACTGCCTGGTGACTAGTTACTTTTTTAAACTGATAAGAACAGATACTACACTCGATCTTAGCCAAAAGGCCAAGAAGCGATGACTAGTTCCTTTTTTGCCTGTATGGTAAAATGTAATATTATTTTGTAATGACAGAATGGTTAAACTCACATTAGCAGGTTGCTGGAATGGTAGTATTTTCACCAAGGAGCTTTTCTGTCATTCAATAAGTATGTTATGGTAATTACATTTGATTATTTGTTTTAATATTATATTTTATAAGGTGGTATTTTTCTGTAATTTATTAAGCAATTAAAATTTCTGCCTTCTATTAAGTAAAAATGTTAACCTATGTGTTTTTAGGAATTCACTGTTAAAACAGGTAACCAAGGATTTCCTATACAGCATTAAAATTTGAATCACTTATTCAGTAAATATTTATTGAGCACCTATTATAATGCCATACACTGTGAGAAGTCTATATTAGCAACAAAAACTTAGTTGTGCACTTCAGAAAATTTATGACCCTTCAAAAATACTTTTGTGTAATAACGAGTGTTTTAACATCACCCGTCTACATTTTTCTTCAATATACAAGCCCCTGGAATCTCCACTGTCAGTGCAGTCACAGAGAACTCTATTTTTCATTTTCTCAAAGTAATTTTTTTGTTCTTTTCTTTTTTGGGGGGTGGAGTGGGGATGGGGAGAGAGAGAGGGAGAGAGAATCCCAAGCAGGCTCCACTCTCACAACCCTGAGATCATGACCTTAGCCACCCAGGCACCCCTCTCAAAATAATTTTTAATCTTAGGAACTCCAATTATTGCACCATTTCTCTGTTTACTGTCCTTTCAGACTTTTGTGATAGATTGTCAATGTCTTCTGGTCTTAATTCCTCTCTTCAAACTCCAGGTCTTCATGGCTTTTTTTCACTTATCAACTACATTTTCTTGGCCTCCACATGTTTTATCCAAGTACATGTTTTTGATTAGTCCTTTAGAATCTTACAGACTGCCTCTCCAGAAACAGCAATCTTTTCACTTTTTTCTTTTTTTATTGGGTACTTTAGCAGAGCTCACTAATTACCCTTACCTTCTATCATGATAAACATTAGGGTTCCTAAATGATCATAAGGATCCAAAATGTACTGAGAATTTACAGCTACAGAATACTTCACAAAGGAGCAATCCTAAGAGGGAAAACCTAAGCAAATTCATAAACAGAATGACGACTAAAGCAAATGAAGGAGTTAAACCTAAAAGAAGTTAGGTTTTGGGGAGCCTGGCTGGCTCAGTTGGTACAGCATGTGACTCTTGATCTTGGGGTTGTAAGTTCGAGCCCCACGTTTGGTGTAGAGATTACTTAAAAATCTTTTTTTTTAAGATTTTATTTATTTATTTGAGAGAGAGTGAGCAAGAGAGAGAAGA